CCTGTATCCTGACTCTGTCTTCTACCGTATTCACTACCCCTCCCAATTTAGTATTTTCTGCAAATTTAATAAGCATTCCCTCTATCCCTTCATCCAAATCAACATCTATTCTTTGGTTCAATATCCCATAAGACTTTTGCAACCTAGCCAGTGCGATATTCCTTCAAACAAGCATTATCCTGCCCATGCACTTTGCACATGAGCATGGTTGACCAGGCTCGAGTCAAAACATATAGATTACCAAATGTTGGTCTTCAAGGTGCCTGACTGGACTCTAAATCTGTTCTACTGCTTCAAACCAACACGGCTGACCACCTGGATCTATCTAGATTATCAGTTTGTGTGGCTCCTGAGCTCCCAATCCTTGGCGAAGAGGCCGTCTAGAACCTCTTGGCCTCACAGATAATAAGCTAATGTTGAGCAATGCTCATGCTGCCTACGTATGAGGCACTGAGTCTTGTCAAACTCGTCACATTCCTAATTGACATCTATGTTTGAGTCTACAGACTGCAGAAAGGTGTATATTGGTTGTGCTTTTGTTGTTTGGGGCTGTGTGCCAACAACTCCCGGTGCCTCTGTGTGGGTCCTGGCGGGCAGATGGAATATATTCCAATTACATGTATTCAGTGCACTCTATCTTAGGTATTGGGTTTTGCTTTGAACTGTATGTTATGCATTAAGGTTTTTCTTCTGCATGTTTCTGAAGTTCCACAAACAGCCTCAGGTCGAATCTGCATTTGTCTTTCCCACCGGTGTCCCAGCCTTCAGACACTGTCTTCAAAAAAACTGTCTACATTTGCTTTTGTTTTCACACTTCAACTGTGCGAGTATACTTTTGCCTGTCTGCATGTGTTTATCGCCCTCTCATGGCGGCTGCATAGTAATTGCGCCTCCACACCGCTTTAAATGAATCTTCTCCAACCAACATTCAAACAAGCATAGAGAAAGACAGCGTCACAGAAGCACGAAACTAATTTAAAAATGCAAATGCAGCTTCGACCTCAGTGTGGCACAACTGTCTTTTTCTCTTCCTCCGAAAAGATTCGGTCTCCAGCCAGTCTCCATCCAGCCCACTGAACGCTGGATGGACTTGGGGTCCCAGGGAACATGCCTGGGCTCGGGAACTCCCCAACAAAAACCACAGAAGAAATGACTGCAAATTTACAAACATTCATTAACCACCACTGAAGTCGTGATGATCTTGGATTGCACTACAGTAAATGCACATGATCAGGTGAAGCAGCGGCTGTCACCACGGCAATCTCGTAAGACAGCTCAGGCGATCGCTCAAATGTCAGCAGAGGGGCTGTGGCTCCGGCCTCTGCCGAAGCCACCGGCACTGAGGTGGGCAGTAAGAGGCAGACGGAGACACCACCGGTCCCAGACATTCCCCCAAGGCCACCAGCAAATTAAATCACTAATGCAATTCTCTAGACATCTACAGTCCACATCCACATCCATCTCCCCCACATGCCTCTCTGCAGCAGAAGGGGGTCGGGGAGTTGGCCGGGGGTGGGGGGGGAGGCATCTGGACCATTCCCCCCATTCCAGGAGACTCTGCAGTGTGGAGCTAAGTTATGTGAGAACTGTGGGCTCTCCGTTATTCCAGCTGTGGATTTCCTCTCAAAAATTAAGGCCCTGACCTTTCGGAGTCAAGGCCAAGAAATAAAATCGCTAAGATGGTGTTCTTGTGCAGGTGTGCCTGCTTCTCAGACTGGGGGTGGTCCTTGAAATCACGATTAATGTTTCAATGTCCTCGAGACCCCGGTTAACCGTACCTTTCCTTCACTTTTCCATGTTAGAAAAAAGCCAAATTCATCCACTTTAAAAAGACAGTTGGGTTCAAACACGGAGGACTCCTGTTGAAAGAGAAAATAAAAAGTATTCAGCCAGCTAGTCATGAAATAATTTAAAAGGTACAACAGTTGCCCCATGCATTTTCCAGATCACATACTTTGAACATTATAGACACTGGAACCAGCAGACACGCGCAGCGGTCCGATGTAATACCCAAAACAAATATAAGACCCAAACGACAAATCCAACAAAGTGGCACGCCGGCTTCAGAGAACCCGGCCACATTCTCTTCATCATAAAATCATAGAATGCAAGAGTTGGAAGGGACCTTGCAGGTCATCTAGTCCAACCCCCTGCACTCTGCAGGAGCAGAGCCGAAAGATAGCCCTACATACCTACAACACACGCGAAAGATGGTCGTCCAGCCTCCGCTTGAAAACGTCCAGCGAAGGAGCATCCACCACCTCACGAGGCAGCCTGTTCCACTGCTCAACCACTCTTACAGTTAGGAAGTCTCTCCTGATATTTAGCCGGTAACGACTCCCTTGTAATTTCCACCCATTAGATCTAGTCTTGCAATCCGGAGCAAGAAAGGGTTATCGTGTACGCTCCGATGCAGCCGGGCAAGAGCTGGGCCACTCCACTGCACGATCCACTGGAGCCGCATGGGTGGTCTTCAGCCACTCAGACCCCAGACCCACTTTAATACCCCCCAGATAGAATCATAGAATCACAGAGTTGGAAGGGGCCATATAGACCATCGAGCCCAGGGGTGTCAAACTCACTGGAAATGTGTTATTTAAAGTTTAAAAAAACTTTAATTGTGTTTGTCTGTGTCCTTTATAAAGCTTATATCTCTGCTACGACAAGGCCCAACAAGGTCTCATTTATGTCAGGTCTGGCCCTCGTAACAAATGAGTTCGACACCCCTGAGTCTTCTAGTCCAGCCCCCTGCCCAAGTCAGGACCAGCCTACAGCATCTCTGACAAACAGTCGCCCCGTCTCTTCTTGAAAGCTGTCAGTGAAGGGGAGCTAAGCATGACGACGTGGGACCTACCATCAGGTTCCACCTTGGCCCAGCCTCAACTTGGGAGGAAGACTCCTTGGAGAATCCTGAGGAACCCCTCTGTGGGGTCCTGCCCCCCAGCTCCTCCGGGGGAAGGACCCCCCTGCTTTCTACGACAGAGCAGGATTCCATTCTCGAACCCACGGGAAGAAAGCGGACTGGGAACTCCACCTCTGGCACCCTTCCAGAGCCAAAGGAGGAAGGAAGGGCGCCGGAGCTAAAGTCTGGACCGGATGGAGAAGTCCAGTCCAGTCTCACCTGAACACGCACTGAGCTGCCCAGTACTGAATCAGACCCCACCCCCTCGGTCTATCGAGGTCAGTCTTGCCTACTCAGGCTGGCAGCCGCTCTCTGGGGTCTCAGGCACGGGAGGGTCTTTCCCATCACCTCCCACCTGATTCCTTTTTTAAACTGGGGGTTGAACCTCAAGCCTTCTGCATGCCAAGCAGAGGCTCTTCCACTGAGCCACAGCCCTTCGCCTTCAGCCCTGTGCCCCGTGCAGAAGGCGAGCACCGCTCTCTAGATCAGGGGTTCCCAAGCTTTTCTGAGCCGCAGCCCCCCCCCCCCCCGCCCCCCTACACTCTCCTTTCCATAAACTCATCCCCAGTTCCCCCCCCCAACCTTCCCTATAAAAAGCATGATCCAGAATAGCAGCCTGCACAACCCACTAAAGAAGATAATAACAATAAGATTCAAAACAGCAGAACCCAAACCAGTAATGATTAATTGCTCATTCATCCAAAATCCATAACTTTTCAGTATAATTCATTCAGCAAAACTGATGATCTTGATCCAGCGATACCAGCTTTTCAAAATCTGGTACTCATTTGAGCAAGTGTCTTCGACACCAGATTTAGTAGCAACTTCACTGTGCGGTAAATTCTTAATGTGATGGGTGAGCTTGATGAAGTGACACCAATTTCCCAAAGTCTGGTTCAAAGTCACTCAGCAGGAGTCTTAAATCACCATGTTCAGTAATCTGGAGTCAATTTCTTTGCTTGGAGAAAAGTTGGATGACCAGATTAAAACCACATCCCCCTAAAAATTCCGATGGTTTCCACCACATTCCAACACCCTGCAGAGGCGGAAACTTTGAGTGCCACTTCCCAGGATGGACCCACAGCCTGGTCCACCGCAAACAACTGAATAACATGGGCAAAGGGGCCCACCTCCAGTGCCCCCTCGCCTCTCACCACCCCACAGGTGACAAAAGGGTTGGGACACTTTCCCTATGAAGAAAGGTTAAGGCGTTTGGGCATTTCGCTTGGAGAAACAACGGCTGAGGGGGTGACACGATCGAGGTTTATAAGATTATGCATGGGATAGAGCAGGTAGAGAAAGAGGTACTTTTCTCCCTTTCCCACAATACGAGAACTCGTGGGCACTCCATGAAATTGCTGAGCAGTCGGGTTAGAACAGATAAAAGGAAGTCCTTCTTCACCCAAAGAGGGATTAACACATGGAATTCACTGCCACAGGAGGTGGTGGCGGCTACAAGCATGGACGGGTTCAAGAGGGAATTAGATAAACATATGGAGCAGAGGTCCATCGGTGGCTATTAGCCACAAGGTATAGATAGGGACTCTGGGGCAAGGGATGCTCTGTATTCTTGGTGCTTGGGGAAGAAGGCAACAGTGGGAGGGCTTCTAGTGTCCTGGCCCCACTGATGGACCTCCTGATGGCACCTGGTATTTTGGGCCACTGTGTGACACAGAGTGTTGGACTGGATGGGCAATTGGCCTGATCCAACATGGGCTTCTCTTATGTTCTGATGTCTGGGACAAGGGATGCTCTGCATTCTTGGTGCTTGGGGGGGGCAACAGTGGGAGGACTTCTGGAGTTCTGGCCCCACTGGTGGACCTCCTGATAGCACTGGTATTTCTGGCCACTGCGTGACACAGAGTGTTGGACTGGATGGGCGACTGGCCTGATGCAACACTGGCTTCTCTTGTGTTCTTATGAATTGGATAAGCATGTGGAGCAGAGGTCCATCAGGGGCTCTTAGCCACAAGGTATAGATAGGGACTCTCGGTCTGGGGCAAGTGATGCTCTGTATTCTTGGTGCTTGGGGAGGGGGGGCAACAATGGGAGGGCTTCTAGTGTCCTGGCCGCACTAGTGGACCTCCTGAGGGCCCCTGGTACTTTTGGCCACTGTGTGACACAGAGTGTTGGACTGGATGGGCCACTGGCCTGATCCAACATGGGCTTCTCTCTTATGTTCTTATCTCATTGCCCCCCAGGGGTGGCATTGCTCCCTTTGTGAACCACAGCTCTAGATCTCTGCCACACCCAGAGCCCAGCCCTGGCATCTCGAAGAGGTGGGGTTACCCGTGCGCAGGGCGAGGCGGGAAGCTGAGGGCCCTTGTGGCTCTCGGTGCATGCAAACTAGCAGACAAATAAGATACACGTTTGTGTGTGTTGTGCCGCCAAGTCACTTCTGACACTATCAATTAGCGACCTCCAAAGCATCCTCTCATTAACAGCCTTGCTCAGGGTCTTGCAAAGGTTGGGCCCTCGTGGCTTCCTCGGTTGAGTCCATCAACTTCATGTTGGGTCTCCCTCTTGCCCTGCTGCCTTCAGCTTTGCTTGCAGACTCACTGCCTCTCCCAGGGAGTCTCGCCTTCTCAAATTGTGACCCAAGTCTGAGAGCTGCAGTTCAGTCATTTTAGCTTCTCCCTGTGGCAACTCTACAGAGGCTCCGTGACCCAACTGAGGGCAGAAATTCCATGGGTGAGAAACCACAGAGGCTGTGTTCACACACACGCTCAACAATCCACTTTCGATTCACTTTCAGCGCACTTTCCAACTGGATTTTTAGTGTGTGAACTGGCAAAATCCAGTTCGAAAGTGTATTGAAAGGGGATGATTTCGTGTGGGTGACGGCAGCCAGAAGAGTTACACCACAGATCGTATATAAGATCCAGTTGTTCAGCACTTTTTGAAGAGGGCTTTCGGCTAAAGAACGGAAGACACAGATCCATGGCTTTGGCGTCTCTGCTTCCTTCTGCCCGCTACAGCTTCAGAAGCTCTTGACTGCAAGCCTTTTTAAGTGGCCACGACTGAGCCTGATTGCCTAACACACACACAGAGAGAGAGAGACTCAACATTCCCATTTTACAAATAAGGTTGCACTGTTCCTCTGGTTTTGGGATGTAGACAACTGTGTAGAAATAAATGAACAACTGACCCAGGTAGGATAGGTATATAAATGGGGGGAAAGGAAGCAGTCGTTGAGTGCAAGGTCAGGCATCCACAAGTCAGTCAAGGCAGAGTTGGTGGCTTAGCTTCTATCATACGCATTGCATCAATGCCTAACAGCCTCTCTTGGCTGGTTTTATAGCCCCGTGCCTAAGGGTCATGCTTGCTACCAGTTACTCAGAAGCAATCCTGCAACTACTCATCTTCGTTATCAGCAAGCTGCTGGCGTCGGGCCAGGAGGCGTGCACTTTGCTGTCTTGTCTGTAGCTTTGTTCTCAGCCTCCATCTGCAGTGCTCTAAGGGTGTAGGTGATACCGGTGGGCTGAGAATGGCCAACTGAGGTTCACCTGCTGAATCAGGGCTGGAGGGTGTTGGTATCTCTGCACCAGGTGTTGGCTGTGAATCCTGATAAGCCAGCGGCTCACTTTCCTGCTGATCAGCTTCTGTGAACTCAAGGCTGGCTACACGGGGCTCCTCTTCTCCTGCAGAATCCTTGCTATCACTGAGCCCTGGCTGACTCATGCCACCTGGCTTCAATGAGGCAATGCAAGCTTTGGTTGCTTGGCCCAGTACAGAAAGGGGGGGCAGAGAGGTCGCACATTTCCTGCAAAAAGCTTGCTGTGGTCCCTACCAGTGTTCCCTCTAAGCTGAGTTAGTGTGAGCTAGCTCACAGTTTCTTAGCCTCCGGCTCACACATTATTGTCTTAGCTCAGGAAGGATGGCTCCAGATCAAACTAACTTATGCAGCAGCCAATTCACCTGCTCACAACTTTAATGCCAGTAGCTCACAAAGTAGAATTTTTGCTCACAGGGCTCTGTAGCTTAGAGGGAACATTGGTCCCTACATACCTACAAGAGGAGGAAACAGCAGTCCCCCATGGGGAACAGCACTGCCGTGAACTGGGATGGTAGTTGCAGAATAAAAAATCATTATAGATGGGCCATCTTACAAATAACTATCATTTAGCAAGACTTACTTTCTGAGCTTACTTGCTGCTGAGGCGGATGTGGGGGGAAAGATTTCTTAGCCGCCTTGGCAGGCCTTGATGTTCAAAAATACCTTCGCTTCATTTCAAGAGATTAGAGAATGAAGTCAAGTATTACTGAAGGGATTTATTGAGACTAATTTTCTTTTTGTTTGTCTGTTACTCCTCTTGTTAAATGGATCCTCTGGTTAATCTATCAAGGGCTGGACAGATTAAGTCAGAGGTTCTGTTTATGTAAAGACTGTTAAAGCATCAAACAACACTGGCTACAAGCATAGACAGCTTCAAGAAGGGACGGCAGAAACATATGGAGCAGAGGCCCATCAGTGGCTATTAGCCACAACAGATAGATGGAAGACTCTATCTAGGGCAGCGATGCTCTGTATTCTTAGTGCTTGGGGGGCAATAGTGAGAGGGCTTCTGGAGCTCTGGCCCCTCTGGTGGACCTCCTGATGGCACCTGGTTTTATTGGCCACTGTGTGACACAAAGTGTTGGACTGGATGGGCCACTGGCCTGATCCAACCTTGGCTTCTCTTATGTTCTTATAGGAACTCTTGGTCTGGGGCAAGGGATGCTCTGTATTCTTGTTGCTTGGGGGGCAACAGTGGGAGGGCTACTGGAGTTCTGACCCTGCTGGTGGACCTCCTGATGGCCCCTGGGTTTTGGCCACTGTGTGACACAGAATGTTGGACTGGATGGGCCACTGGCCTGATCCAACCTTGGCTTCTCTTATGTTCTTATAGGAACTCTCGGTCTGGGGCAAGGGATGCTCTGCCTTCTTGGTGCTTAGGGGGCAACCGTGGGAGGGCTTCTGGAGTTCTGACCCTGCTGGTGGACCTCCTGATGGCCCCTGGGTTTTGGCCACTGTGTGACACAGAGTGTTGGACGGGATGGGCCACTGGCCTGATCCAGCATTGGCTTCTCTTACACTCTTAACACTAGCAAGTTAATTTCAGTTAAGTAAAAGTGTCCGTCCCCCCACCAATGTATTCTTAAAAGGATGGTTGAAGAGATGATTGGATAATGGGTGGTGGGCATAAAACTTCATTAGTTGCCTACATGATACCTCCTCCCTTTCTACATGCACACTGGCACAGATATGAAAATCACACTGAATGCTCTTGTAAGCGCATCTCTCTGGAGCTGAATAGCGAGCTTCTGGATGTGCAGCCAGAGGCCCAGCTCCTCAGGGGCCCTGGAGCTCAAGCGGCTTGGCCTTCAGAAACAGCACTGTTAAGATGGTTCCCCTGGCTTGGCTCGCATGGAGGATTTTCATAGACAGAGAAGGGGGGCAATTTTCTTCCATTCCTTTCTTCCACTGCTGACCTTCGACTCCCCCCTCATGCTTTTCCTGGGGGGGGTACTCTGTCCCCCAAAACGGGGTACTCCGGGCCAAAGCAAGAGTAGGGGAGGTGAGAAGGTCGTGTTCCGCTGATGGAAATCCCTTTCGCCAGTGGGACGTTCCAACGGATGCAAGCCCCTGCATGTGTTTCTAAACAGGAAGGTTTCAAGGACAGCAAAAGGAGCTGGAAGGTATATCCTGCCCTTAAAAAAGAAAAAAGAAGACCTGTGTTCCCTTTCCTGCGTGGAAATGAAAAACGCACACCAACAAGCAGCACTTCAGAACAAGCCTCATTCAAAAAAATACTGCTGAGTCTCACGTCTGAACGAGCCCCCAGGTTAAGGACAGGCTTTAATTAATTAAAAGACAACAACACTCCAGAACAACAGCTGTGTGTACAAAGGGAACGGGAGTGTGCTGTTCATTGTACATATCCTCTTGCTCTTAAGTGCTTGCCCTCTACTACCCTCACTTCGTTCTCTGCATTGTTTACGGTACGTCACGTCTTCTATACAGGTGTTTTGTTTTTTGTTTCCCAAGGAAAACAGGGTATATAATGTTTTATACTTTTTTTAATGAATACACGTTGCTCATGAGAGGACAAGGTGGTCTCCATTCACATCAATGAGGATATCCTCTTAGACTATCCACCCAGCTGCACATTCAGAGAGCCAGTTTGGTGTAGTGGTTAGGTGCGCGGACTCTAATCTGGGAGAACCGGGTTTGATTCCCCACTCCTCCACTTGCACCTGGCTGGATGACCTTGGGCAAGCCGTAGTTCTGACAAGAGCTGTTCTCTCAAGGACAGTTCTCTCAAGAGCTCTCTCAGTCCCACCCACCTCACAGGGTGTCTGTTGTGGGGAGGGGAAGGGAAAGGAGATTGTAAATCGCTCTGAGACTCGAAGTGAAGGGCGGGGTGTAGATCCAATTCTCTTCTTCTTCTTCCCATTCCAGTTTAGGAGCTCTACGAGGCTGACACTTGAGCATCAGCCAGTGCTCAGGAGGTAAAGCACACGCTTCAGGCCCCTGATTATACCTGTCATCTCCAGTTCAAGGAACTTCATGGAGCAGGAGTAGAAAAGAACACGGCACAGGCCTCTGAAGGTCAATGGCTAGTGGGAGTAGACAGCACTAGGTTTGGCTTTGTTAAGGCAACACTAGAGACAACCGCATAACAACCCAAATTACTGCATTTATTACAATACATTAAAAAAAAAAACACACACACACCAAAAGATGCTCCAGGAGCAGATGTTCGTTATTACAATCAAAGCTCTCTCCGAAGCTAACACTAAACTATACCAGTTTGCTGAACACTTCAAAATCCATCTTCTTCAAGATCAAACATTACATGTAAAATTGTTGGGGTATCAAAACAATTCCATGCATGCAAAATGACATTTCTGCCTCTGCTGGGAAAACCCTTCTGTAGGTATGAGAATCTGTTTGTTTCCTTGCTGGTAACCAAGTGCTCCCTCTAAGCTGTGGAGTCTTGTGAGCAAAAATTCTACTTTGTGAGCTATGGGCATTAAAGTTGTGAGCGAGCGATTTGGCCACTGCATAAATTAGTTTCCTCTGGAGCCATCCTCCCTGAGCTAAGGCAAAACTGTGTGAGCCGGAGGCTAAAAAACTGTGAGCTCGCTCACACTAACTCAGTTTAGAGGGAACACTGCTGGTAACTAATGCCAAAATGCCATACTGACGCATCCCTGGCCAGCCCACGGAGGTGCAACTGGCCGCCTCACTTTCGATCTTCGGGAGGCAGTTGAAGACAGTTTTGTTTACTCCTGCATTTGACTAATTTGGTTTTTATTTACTAGCAGTCCTAATTGAGGTTTTAAATTGTAGACCTCTAGGTATTTTTAAAAGTAATCATTGTTTTGTTTACATTATCAGCCACCTGGAGTATGTATGTATGTACGTATGTATGTATGTATGTATAAATAAATAAACCCGCCCATGTTACTTGTGAACAACATCATGCAAGACTCCTTACCTCCTCATATCGGTCGAACATGGCACCCTCTTGGAGAAAGGACGGAACTGGCTTCTGCCAGTTGAATTCATACGGTTTCGCCATTGTGTTTTAAGAACCCTGAAACAAGACCAGTAAGAGAAATTAGTGTTTTTCTGTCACAACACAAAGCAGCAGAGCAGCACGACTGTTTCATTTCTTGATATGAACTGTAATAAAGTGGTTCGTTAGAACTTTTCTTGCCATCATTTATTTTGTGTGGCAGTTACCCCCCAAAAATAGTCAGTACTTGAAAAACACATGACTAGGTTCATACCTCAAAAATATCTGAACCACACAGCATATACCTCCCCGCCCCCGAAAAGACAATGGGGATTAAGAATTTAAGAAGTGCCCTGCTGGATTAGACCAGTGGTCCAGGATCCTGCTTCACAGAATTTAAATTAAACATCTGGTTAAGCAATAATTAAGGGCATACAGTGTCACTTATGGCAATTCATGAGCGGAAGGCAAAATCTTAAGTCCGCCTTCTCTGGTCCAAGTAATTCCAGAACCCCATTTTGAAATTCATGGTTAAGCAACTTTTGGAGCACCATTATTATTTTTTAGTGAATTGTATATATTGTATTTTATATTGTTTTTATATTGTCTTATTGTTTTAACCTTGGCATTTATGCCTCTTGTGAGCTGCCCTGAGCCTTCCGGGAGGGCGGGATATAAATTCAAAGATAAATAAAATAAATAAAAGTAATAACAATACACAGGAATGCTTACTGAACACTGATCCATCTAGCCCTGGGTGAAGCCTGGCTCCAGCTCACTGTGCCCTCTGGAGGCTTTTGGCTATATTAACCTACCAATCGGCGGAGGCCTGCGCATGTGCGGTCCCCATGTGGAACTGCACAGAAGATCGATGATGTATCTCACTTTAGATCAGACCTTTTCTTTTTAAAGGATGGAAATTTTAATAAGGCATCATTCTAACCACACCTACTGAAATCAGGCAAAATTAAAGCACGGTGGAGACTCAAAGGTGAGGGGCCGCGGAATCAATGGCGGAGCAAACGTGCTTCAATGTGGCGTGGCAGCTCCCTTCTCTGCCGAAAGGCTCTCGGGGTAGCCAGGCACTGCCTGAGGCCTCGCTCCCTTGGGACTGGCTGGCTGCAGAACAGACAAGGCTGGGCCAGACTCTCTTATAAGGCAGCTTCATGTGCAGATCTCTCTTCAAGGGCAGATCAAGCATAATTTCTAAAGTAAATGAGGGGGAAAG